CACGACATGGCGGCAGCAACAATACTACAGCGAGAATACAAGTTACGCCTTCTTTCTTTACGTGAACATTTGGGCGGTGTTATGAAAATCTTCCCACATAGTGATGTAGACATGTGGGGGCGTGTTTAAACAAGGCATTTTAGGAGGGTATGGACAAGTCTTATTATTTATAAAGAATATCTCTTTGGGTTTGAGACTTTAGTCTTTGCAACTTCAGGGATCTTATCCATGCACAAACAGCTTGTAACACTCCAAAGAGAAAGGAAAATTTGAAATTGCATCATATGACCCCTTTAAAGGTAGGGAAGGCGATTTTGGAAAGGCTAGCAATAGCAAGCTAGCTTTATAAGCAAGTTCCTCACTCTCCCTGCATAATCACTCATGAACGCACTCAGGCAGACCAGAGACTAACCTGCTACATGATGAGAGACGGCGTTGGTGGAGGATTGAATGCAATGCTGTCAGATTACCTCATGTCTCATTCGCCGCTGAGAAAACATCACAGTACAAAGCACATAATATTACAATAATAGCACCTTTCATTCTCGCTGGAATGTGCTGATGATGTATCATGTCTGCGCAAACAGGGTGTGCAGAGGTATACAACTACATATTTGGTACGCAGGCATGACAGCCTATTGTAATGTTCGGACCGAACATTTCGATTGGACGAACATTATATGGTCCTACCCTATGCCTTCCACAGACGATATGAGTACATATAAATAAAATTTAGACCATTTAACTTAGTGATTGCTATTGGGATGTGAAGAGACTTTCAACCAGCATACAAAAAACAACAAAAAATGTTTTTGAACCAAATCACATACCCTGTACTTAACTTTATGTATTTTTAAAACTCCTGATGACATTTATTGAAACTTCTACATTTCCAGTGACCCCTTAATAGTTATTTTTGGTGTGTTTTCTATGTGAAAATGCTAACCTCTGCTTTATTGTGATCTACTATCTAACTGACTCATTGGTTTGACGCAGGACTCAGTCAGAATGATGAAATCTGATGAAGTTGCCTACACGGCAGCTCAATCTTTGTGCTCATTAAAATATTTCTTATCAGTTCCCAGATGATTTTTCTCAGGGCAGAGTTTTTCTTAATGTCAAGATCTTAAAAATGTATCTGTTGAAATTATTGTATTTTTTATTAGAACAATGTCTTTTCATGTTTTATGTCATTGTAAATCCATCACACCAGAGCTGCATTATCTGGCCAAAAATTGGCATGCAATTGATGTTGCGATGACAAGTTTAACTGTGATATGATAAAAATGTAATGCTAAAACAGATTAAAACAGCAACTCTTGGGCAATATGCTGAGGGCTCCTGCATATCTTGACACCAGAGCATCATGGGGACATGGAGTTGACTGTTTTGACGGTTTCTTTTATTAAACAATGTATAGTTCTATATATATTCTCTAATCAATATATAGTTCTGTCATTTTTTTTTTTTAGAACTGAACCTATACTGAAACCATAACACTTAACACATGTAACATATTTTCATGGTCTTACTGAATGGATAATCAGTTCTTTCTTTCAACAACAAAAAAAAGTCTTTATAATCTAAAATGTAATCAAAATGTAACTTTCTCTTCCTCTGAAGCAATGTTCCTTTTCGGATTACTGCGTATGCAGCATAAGGCAATATGCTCACTCTAGAGAGCAGCCCAAAAAATGACCTATATTGTCTAACATAAAAATCTATTTCAGTGGACATGGCAGACTCATACATGGACACATACATATGCCTTACATAGTCATAGTTATGTGTTCAGATGTTACTGATGTTACTGTTCTAAACTCTGTATCTCTCTCTCTCTCTCTCTCTCTCTCTGTGTGTGATGGTTTCAGACCCTCTCAGGTGAGTCACCCCACAAATCGCAGCAGACAGTCTCTAAACAGTCCTGGAGGAACAGAGATGGATCTTCTGGTCATGAGAGAGAGACCCAGAAAGGGGATTCGTAACAGTGGCTATGATGTGAGTGTTCTTAATGAAATGCTGCATACAACATTAGCAAAAATGGTAAGGCTTCAAAAACACAGCTGGCAGAGCATGGTGCCAGGAACAGCAAGGTTGTGGCTTTGGATAAAAGCATCTGCCAGATGCATAGATATATAACACAGGACAGTTCCAAATGATTTTGTAAGGCATTGCTTGATTGTTATTGGGTGGAGTTGTGGTTGGGTTGTGTTATGCTTGGTTAGTTGCTGCTGCTAATCTACTCGGGATTTGCTGTTCTGACTTTTTTATTTTTTTTTATTTTTTTTTTTACACAAAAACAAGTGCAGGTCGTTTTAAAGAATAATCATAAGTTCATCACGATGGAAACAGAAGCACAATGGTTTGGTTTGCAGATGGGAATAAAGAATGGATTCAGTGTTGACAACTTCTTATTTCTTTACTGTAAATACATAAATAAAGCTTCTAAGCAAGAAGCTTACATGTGACATTATCAACGCAGAGTCAGTGGCACACATGCAGTCGTGTCCTAGATCTTATTAAGTGAAATTCACATGCTGACTATGTACACCTCTCAGCGATGGTAAACATGCTTACGTGTTATATTTGAAATAGCTTATCTATTTTCAGCATAAAAATAATTACTTTCTGAGTAAGTGGAAAACTGTCCTCTTTATGCATGTAGTACTTAAAAAAGCAAAAGAGTTTTGTCTATGTCCATATTGTATAAGTTACACTCTTGTGGATTCAACTCTTTTCATTTGTGTCCCTGTACGTAATGTGGATTCTGGCTCTGTGTGAAAAAAATATCTTTAGTTCTATTGATTATAGTGGGAATTAGTTGCTGTTGGCTAAATTACTGCAGATCCTCATACTGATGCTGTAAGAAGGACTGTTTTATGTGGTGCGCTGCACCACATCTCTTGTACAAGTACTTCATATCTCACATTTGATGCACAGGAAGGAAGAAAGAAACAGACTGTGTCTGAAACCTGTATGAATGTACTTTTTAAGGAAACCATCCTAATAATTTTAGATTAGCTTCACCATCTAATGATCCAGTTTATAAAATTCCAGTAGCAGATTTCTAAAGAGGCCAACATTCCCCTAGGCCACTGATGTATATAATAACTGGATTGTTCATACTGCATTCTAAAAAGAAGAAATTGTTAAATAAAGTCATTATTTTTGTTTTCTTTGCTCACAAAACATTAAGGTTGAACCACTGATGCCACATGGACTATTTAATGACGTCCTTACTACCTTTCTGGGCCTTGAATATGGTAGTTCCGTTGCTGTCTATGCAGGGTCAGAAAGCTCTTGGATATCATCAAAAATATCTTAATTTGTGTTCTGAAGATGAACAAAGGTCTTACAGAATGACCTGATAGTAATTAATGACAGACATATGTTGAGGATCTCGTCCGTCTGATGTTTATCATGTTAATCTGATGTTCGCTACTGTAATGAATATGGTACGTAACTTTTCAATACACAGGGGGAATTCCCAACATGAAACAAATAACTATATATTTGTTTAATATATTTGTAAAAACGCTGACTCGTTATGTGGTTTTCTCATTAAAATTGTACAATTCCCTGTTAATTCAATAGAATGTTTTATGGCGGTGCAGTGGCTTCACTTTTGTGACATCATGGCAGAATGCTCAAATGGGCCAAGTTTTCTACAAACTTTGCTAACTAGTTTTTTACTCATATTGTCTAGTCAAATGTATTTCTATAGCACTTGCAGTGGAAAACCATGTAACCATGTGCCCCGCTCAAATGTGTTTGGGAACTTGCAAGTGTCTTGGTGGAACATTAGGGAAACATCTGCAACAACTGGCAATTCTGGTGCAGTCCATGATTAAGAGATGCAATGTAGTGGCCACACAAAATACTTAATGTGATACTGACCCCCCCCCCTTTCTTTAGGGACTCATTATTCCATTTCTGTATGTCAAATAACTGTTAAACTTCACTAATGCACTGACCTAACTTGAGACAGTATAAAACTGAGTATCATTGGGATATCATTGGGAATGAATAATGACTCCATGTTTCCTGACAATGTTGCCCAGGGGAAGATTATACAATGAAAAAAGCAGGGGGCCTAATACTGATCCCTGTGGAACTTGTGTGTGATCTGACATGTCTTTGATAGTGATTATGGCAGGATCTAAACCGTGCTAAAGCCTGCCCACAAATGGCGACACCTATGTCCTACGCCATCCGCTGGAATGGCACTCTCTCATGTACGCGTGTACGACAGTTAGTGATAGCTAGAGATTACAGGTTATAAAGTTTTAAATGTGGATGTTTTTCTTACACAAATGCATTGATTTGCTTCAGAAGGCCTTCATTAACTCCCCAGAGCCATGTGGAGTGCTTTTTATGATGGTTGGGTGCACTTTATTGGACTTCAACATCTCAACACCTATTTAATGCCATTATAAAGCTTGCCCAGGACATTTTTTTAATATAACTCAGAGTGTATTCATATGAAAGAAGAAAGGGAGGGAGGGGGGGTGAACGAACTATCCCTTTAACCCTACCATACCTAAACATAACTGTGCTGTGAGGGAATATCAGGATTTGTCATTGCTTTGTTCTTTGTCATTCTGGCTACTGAATAAGTTTGGCTTATTTTCTTGGAAATATGCTGTTCTTGGAGCTTTCAGACCCTCTCTATAGGTGGAGACAATATCCTTCCATGCCTCTCAAAATAAAATTGTACTCTTCCACCTGTGCTCTGAAAAGCATCTTGAGCTCACAAGTGTGGTTGTTATAACATGGAGCAAGGCATTTATCTTTAAATTTATTTAATCCAAAAGGTGTGACACCATTTAAAATGTACAAATAGCTTCTGGCACAGCATTCTTTTACAGCATTCACGACTGAAAAGGGCACTTTACCATTAGCGATTAAAGATGCAGGGGCTCAGGATTCTCACCATTCTCACCAGTTATTCATCAGTTACTCAGTCTCTCTATTTCACATTTTGCAATACTTACAAGTTCAGTTCAAGTGTTGTTTTAATAAATACCTGCAATTGGGTTCACCACCAAAACACTCTCTCTTTCTTTCTGAGTCTGGTATATTCCTGACAGATGGATTGTGGGAGAGGAAAAACAGAGGGAAAGACAAAATATACAGATTCATCAGGTTGGTGGGTTGTTGCAGTCTTTAATCACTGCAGCACTTTCTCATTGGGCCTGTGCACCACAGAGGTCTGATGAATAAACAAAACTCCCACATTGTTAAGCCAACCAGGATTGAATTAGAATAGATTGTACACCATGTATTTCTGCTATTATTGTGTGTTTTATGAGTATTTGTGTGTTTAAGATAGAAAGAGACACATGAGAGACTCACAAAGCATAAGAGATTTGGATGATTTGGAAGATAATGAGCACTCGTTTTACCAGCACATAATTCACTTGTTCCAATGAAAGCTCAGGGGTCATGTTATGAAAAGATTTAAAATGAAAATGGTAATTTAGGATGGACGGGAAAGTACCTGATTCACAAAGCATCTCACAATGGTAGGGCTGTTGTGGGAACAGGCAGTGTGCAGGTGTAGCTTATTAGCAAAATAAATCTTGTCACATCATTCATTTCTTTTTCTTTCTTTCTTTCTTTCTTTATTTTAATCTTGTCAGTTTTACCTGCAGATTGCTGAAAAACCATTGACATGTTATAAGATTGAAAATCTCCTTAAATTAATCTCCTTTTTTAAATCTCCAGCCAACTGAATTTTTTTTGAAAAATGTCATCTTAACTCAGAAAACCAGTATTTACTGAGTTCTATGTACAAAACTCTATGTATAATATATGTTTAAGATGTTATCATTTAGTTTACATAATTTTTCTCTTTCTTTCTTTCTGTCTTGTTTTTGTTATCAATATATTTATTTGTCGTCTTGTATCTTTCTACATTGCTGTAAAAAAAACCAGGTTGGAGTGATCGTAAAATGTTTTATTATTTTCTTGACTTGTCTTTGCTGTGTATTGTGATACTTCTGGCCTGCCAGACTTGACGAATCATTTCAGGATCTTGGCAGGATTGTAGTAGTATCACAGAACAGCTCAAAATAGGCACTGACATTTCCTGTATACTTGTTTATTTGTTTTTTCCTTCAGAGCTGAAATTGTGTTAGTTCCATCATGTTTCAGCTGATTATATCTTTTGATATGCCAAAAGGAATAATTAAAACTGTTAAAATTGTCATCATTTATTTCCCTTTATATGCTTATAAACCTTTATGGCATCTTTTTTATCAGTGCAACGCAAAAGGAGATATTATGAAAATGTCCATGCTGATCTTCTCCATACGGTGACCAGGGGCTGCCAAAGTACCAAAACAGCATAAACCATTATAAAAGTAGTTCGTATGATTCATATGCTATAGTCCAAGTGTTCTGAAGCCATAGTTTTTTTTTCCATCAGGTCTCAAATTTTAGCCATGCTTTTGCATTAAGTTACAAGACTTGAGAGAACCAATGGTGCACCAAGTTTGTATCAACAACAGCAAAAATAGCTTTTGGAGCTTCATTGCTCTAATTCTTTATATAAATGTATTGTATTGTAAAAAACAGCATGGACATTTTCCAACAAATGAAAGAAATTCAAATGGATTTGGGATGACTTAAGTAACAGATGAAAGAATTACCATTATTGTGTAAACAATTCCTTTTTTTTTTGTTTAATTTGAGCATCACAATTTAGACTTAGATTTTGTAATATATGTGCATCTGTTTCTTTGTTCTATGTCTGTTGTAGACTGAGCCAGAGATTATTGAAGAGACTGATGTTGACCGACTGGCGGGCCGCCATTATTTTGGCTGTGGTCGACAAATCAAAGGTCAATCTGAGACATCAACACTGAGTTCCCAGCCTTCCATAGATGAGGTTCGTCAGCAGATGCATCTGCTGCTAGAAGAAGCCTTTAGTCTAGCTTCAGCTGGTCACTCCACTTCCAGCAGACACCATCACTCCCACCATCAGCATCCATCACTGGGTCCCTATGGCTTGGGTCCAGTCATCCCGTACTCAGAGGTGGTGACCAGTGCACCGTGCACCACAAGTCAAGGGCAGGGAGGCCTACAGTGGGTGCCAGCCTGTAGACCAGACCCTTACCAGTGCAGCCTGGCCAAACAGGTACAGTTATAGATCTGATCTATATATATGTATGTATTGATATGTCAGAAATTATCTTTCTTGCTAAAAGCTTCTATATGCTCATATGCAAATTTATCAAAAAGGCATTCAGGTTCACTCAGCTCCCTGAAATGGCTCTTGGGTCACCTCCACCCCCTGTCCCACCAAGAACAGGCCCTCCTCCTGAGTCATCACTGCAACGGTCAGAACATATCCACGTTCTTTGCCTTTTTGTTCTGACAGTGACCAATGCATGAGTTTATTCAGCACTTATTAAAGGAATATTTTCCCATAATTTACTATCTTTTCAAACCCTTCCGTGGCACACAAGAGGATGTTCACAATCCAAACAAGACAAATAAATGTGGATAAAGCTGTCAAAAAAAAAAAAAAGACAGAAAAAGTACAATTAAAGTTGTACATATGACCTGTGTTCTATATTCTACAGTCTTCTGATAGCGTGTCATCAAGTCATTTCATTAAAAAGAAAACATGTCTGCTTAATATTCAAGTTCTGTATTCATGTCAATCATGGTGTCATTTGTTGTTGTAACTGATCTCACTGTTCCAAGTTAACTAAATTTTGGTCTTTTCCTCATGGAAAAATATTGTATGGTGTCAGAAGATTTGGAATATAAAGCTAATAACACACTCAACACTTTAACGTCTGATGTATGAAATAACTAGAAAAAGTGCAGTTGCTAATATTTATATTGCCAAAAAGTAAAATGAAATTCTGATAGCTTGTAATGTAACACAATGAGATCTTTATAACAGTATTGCAGACTACTTACATAAAATGCACAAAAATGTCATCTGTCACTATATCTCCAAATAATATGTCTTAGTAAAGTAAGATGACACTTAAATGCTTAGTTTATGACCAAAGCTCTGTAGGTTTTATTCATATTTGATACATTATTGTTTTTAGAAAAAACAATGTAAACATGTATGGATAAATATATATAATACTGAGTTATTCTTACATTTACTTTTTACGTTTATAAAAATCAGTAAAAATTTCACTATAAACTATCAATCAGATGACACGAGGATTGTGCACAACAGTTTTGAACATTTAAAAAATTTAGAGCCTTTAGAAATCTGTATATCAAATATAATGCTTTAGAATTTATAGGGTTAATTATTTTCCTTTTTGGAGCTTGAAAGCATCAGTAGCCATTCAGTTCCATTTTTAGGAAAATAACAGACAGGACATTATGCTCAGCATTTCTACAGGAATTCAAATGGGTTTGGAACAACATGAGGGTAAATAATGAATTATTTTGGGTGAAATATTCCTGCCAAATGCTAAATTTGTCATATTGAGGTTTATTTCAGTACTAAATTCAGAAATGTATTTTTAAATTTTGAGTAATTGTGGTAAAGTCTGCCAAGTCATGTTAATTCTTTATATATAAAAACAGCATATTGACTTACTAGTAAATCAATACTGTCACCTGGTGGTGAAACAATGTCAATGCATGTATGAAATTGTTTTACAGGACATCTTCTGATCTTGGTCTGAAGGGTCATTGCTCTGAGTTGTCAGTGCCGAGTCAGCATGACAGCGCCCTCTACCAGCCAAAAGGCAGAGCGCCACTCCCACCTGTCACTACTGAGCCCATTCCTAACCACTCAGGTTAGTGTTCGTGATTGTATGGGTTTATGTATGTCTGTGTACATTAGTTTGTGTCTGTCTGTGTTTTTTCTTTACGAATTATAGTGCATTAGTTATGCATTATTATTATTTTAAGTTAGGGAAGTGTAACACCCTTTGATGCATAACTCATCCTGGGCCATTGATGGCAGAGGTGTAAAGAGTACCTGAAGACCATACTTGAGTAAAAGTACAGATTCCTTACTGTAAAAATGACTCCATTACAAGTTACAAGTCACCAATTCAAACCCGACTTGAGTAAAAGTCTTAAAGTATCAGATTTTAAAAGTACTTAAGTGTTTTACTCATCAATACCCTGCAGATGGCGATATCGCCTCTTCCGCCCAAGAAATAAGCCAAGGCAGATAAAGTTTGCGATTTGTCGTGCACAATCGCAATGTAATGAGTAACGGTAAGTGTCAGTTCAAATGTAGTGGAGTAAAGAGTACATATATTCAATCAATAATGTAGTTGAGTAGAGAGTAAAAGTTGCTTATATTTTTGATACTCAGTACAAGTACAAAGTAGCCAAAAAAATACTTAAGTACAGTAACGAAGTACATTTACTCAAATACTTTACACCACTGATTGATGGCACATGTAGGATACTTTAAACCGTTAACTGCGTTGAGGAGAGTTTGGCTGCTTCATTTTTAAATGATCTGACAATAAAACAGGTAAAAATATCTTTGCTATTCTCACAAAAAAAAAAAAAAGGACTTCGGAGATTTTTAATCTTAGTATTATTTCTGATAATAGCATGAATAACATTTGGTGTACGATATTGACCAAAACATTATTTCTCAATATTTTCTGTGATTTTTTTTGATGATGATGATTAGACAATATTTTGTGTTTTTAAGTGTTTTTGTGTATACAATGGCTGTTTTAGGCCTGTCATGACAGCAGACTTCCAAAGCTTTTGATAACCTTCATTCTGGTGCAGTGATCAGTTCACAGCAATGACAGAAATTAAGTTTTTGATTATGGGATTGATGTCTGCGGGCTTAAATTGATTCCCAGGTGCATTTTAACCTTTATAAAGGTATTTTTTTCTCACCTTATTAAATGTTTGCATCATCTTTATATTTTTAAGTGATACATTCAGTTAGAATAATAAGACACTATAGGCTGTTACCAATAAAATTAAATCAGTATCGACAAAATACAATTTTATTTAGCAAAATCCATGCTAATTCATTCAGGTATGAAACACCACTGTGTGTTGCTCAGAGTTTCACTGCGGCTTTATTTATAACTATTTTTATTGGGAAAATAGAGTAAAAACAGTTTACCCCGAAAATATTGTGTCTAAAATGTAACTCACAACCTTAACTTCTTGTTTATTGAACTTTTGTATAAAATTTATATCACATTTGCAATCTGATAGTTGAAAAAAAAAGCATGCTTGCACGTGTGAAATTAACAGTGTAATTTAGAAATATAACACAACAACTTGCCTCAATGTATTGAATTTGGGGGCTATTCAAACTGCATTCTACTAGGCTACATTACACAGTAAACAGATACACTCTCAAGTTGTGCTTTTATTTTTTGCAAAGTGAGTGACATTTGATAATTACAGTATTATCATAGACAATGCATATATTGCCCACCCCTACAAAACTCTCATCCTTTTTTGTCCCACAGGAAACCCCATGACAGCAGTGTACGCCATCCCAGCCACTCGTCCAGAATACACTGGATATTTCATCTCCACGCCACCCTCCTCCTACCACAGCCCATCCTGGATGTCTTACCCCCCTGAACCCGAGGATGTGCCTCCTCAGTGGGCCGAATCTGTAAGAATGCAGTTATCACACAGTCCTTTATCATGTGTCCAATTCTGCTTCACAAACTGGGTTGCATCCGAAGACCCCAATTTTACAGTGCATGCACCATTAATACAATTTAATGTGGCAAAAACCTCATGGACTGCAACCAAGGGAAGCAGAACTGATCTGTCACATGTGCCTCTATACATTGTTCTGAATTTAGGGGGCATTCTGTCAGATCATGTGACCTGCGCTTGGGCGCAAGACTCGTCTTTTTGGATTGTCCTTCTTATCCCTGTTTGTGTGTGCCTGCATTCACATGGTGTCTTTTTGCAGAACCAGTGTCATTTAGAAACCATGTGCTGAACTGAATTTATCGCTGACGTTGAGTGGAAACAACAAATTCCCAGGGTAGATGAGCACATTTCTTCAAATGAACACTTTTCTTTTTCTTTCATTCTTTCCTCTGTCACGAGCAGGGTTGTGTGCCATTCAGAATCAAATTGTGAATACCTTTAAAATTCCAGGTTTTGAATTGAGGAAAGCAAACCAGATGAAAAATTGAAGTAGCATTAAAAAAATATTTTTTTTAGATTGTACAAAACTTTTTTTTTTTTTTTTTTACTTTTATAACCTATCAAGTAAATCGTCTCGGGTTACGCATGTAACCATGGTCCCCTGAGAGGGAATGAGGAAACGCTGCGCCCCCTAGGACATTGGGGTATGCAGCCTGCATGACCAGTGTCTGAAGCACGTGTGAAACAACGGCAATCTATTGGCCCACCTGGCCCATGACGTCATAGGCGGGATGCCCGGAAGTATAAAAGGGCACCTGATGAATACGTCATCCACTTTAGCTGTCTGAAGGAGACACAGACAGGCAGGGCGAAGGCATGGCAAGGGGACGCAGCATCTCATTCCCTCTCGGGGAACCATGGTTACATGTGTAACCTGAGATGTTCCCCTTCTAGGGAACTCAATGCTGCGCCCCCAAGGGGGCACATTGGGGAATGAAATCCAATCATGCCGTGCCGAGACGCATGACTGTCCACCTGGTGGGAGAGCACCAAGGAAGCGACAGCGAAGTAAAGAGAGTAGCTGCTGAGCTAGAACACAGCTATCATCAGATAGCTATGTCCCTAAGGTCTTATGAAGGCTTGTGGATCAGAATAACATAGCCAAGATAGCCTTCCTACGGAGCTGCCCAGACCACAGAGAGTGGGCTATCTACTTACTACCCTAGCAGGGGAGATAGCACTGTCTAGGCAAGGGCTCAAAGAGACTGCTACTTAAAGACCCTAAAAAAGGGGAGCAAACACTGAGCTAGCACACAGATATCCTCAGATAGCTATGCACCTAGGAAGGGCTACCAGAAGGGGGACCGACTGAAACTTCCCAAACCACAAAGAGTGGGCTGTCTACTTGCAACCATAGCAGGGGAGACAGAACTGTCTAGGTAAGGGCTCAAGAAGGCCGCTACTTAAAAACCCTAAGAAGGGGAGCAATCACCGAGCTATCAACAGCTAGTCCTGCACAGCTACTAAATAACCAGGTAAACCCTCCTATGAGGCTGCCCAGACCACAAAGAGTGAGCTATCTATTTACAACCCTAGCAGGGGAGATAGCGCTATCTAGGCGGGGGCTCAAGGAGACTACTACTTAAAGACACTAGGAAGGGGAGCAGTCACTGAGCTAGCACACAGATATCCTCAGATAGCTATGTACCTAGGAAGGGCTACCAAAAAGGGGGACTGACAGAAACTACCCAGACCACAAAGATGGCTGTCTACTTATGAACCAAAGAGGGGAGACAGCACTGTCTAGGTAAGGGCTCAAAAGACCGCTACTTAAAATCCCTAAGCAGGGGAGCGATCACTGAGCTAGCACATA